CACACACACACACACACACACACTAAAGATTCTAGATGAAGGCTTTTTGAAATAGATTTAAGAAAATTAGTCTGAAACTAAGTAGTCAGTGAACTTTGTCAGGGAGAAATGGGAATTTTTATTGTCATTAGGAGACTATTGTAAAGATTTAGGTAGTTTACAAAGTCAGGTTTCAGTAAAGTGTTGTCAGAAATAATTAAAAGCATAGTAATAAATTCTGAAAGGAATCTGTTGATACTTTACAGATCTAACAGTGTATATGGACATGGGAAAACAGTTCTGAAAATGGTAATGTATGCAGGCACAATTTGCATTCTTAATCCTATACTATTCTCAGTTTCAAGACTAAATGCATGAATTTGAACTTGCTAACCAAACCATGCAATAGTCACAAACACTGAGAATTTTCCGACTATTCAGCCTCAAATGGGTTAAGAATCAGATGTATAGAAACCTCAAAGAGATCCATCCCTACCTGTGACCTTCACTTCTGTGATGGCTTCTTCATCGAAAGCACCATCTTTGAAGAAGCAGTGGTACTGCCCATCGTCATCAACACTGACATTGAGGATCCTGAGGGTCACTTTACCCTCTCTGATAGCTTCTTTCAGGAGCTCTGTCCTCTCCACATACCTGGAGATAGTTTCTGCATGCAGGTCTTTGCCATTGTTGTATAGGTGAACAGGTTGTGTATAGCGATCCCGGAACCAGCGTATCTCCATGTGTTCTGCATTTTGGGGTGGGGACAGCTGGCAGCTGAGTTCAACTATTCCACGCAAAGGAGCCAAGATTGGCCCCCGTAAGCCAGTCACTGTAAACTGTTCTGGGAAGGGAGATGGTAAGCGAATAGTGAGAGTATGAGACACACACACACACACACACACACACACACACACACGATATTCCACATGTTTCAGTGAGGTGTTAAAGGTCATTTTGCCACATTTACATATTGTAAAAATATGAAAACATATACATTATATATTTCTGTTCTTAATAATTCCACATTAATTTCTAACTTGACTCATAAGGATAATCTGAATTTCTGCCATTCTAAATATCAATGGATTCTAAACATCCCCTACAAATTGGCAGAAGACCTGAGCAGACATTTCTCCAAAGGGGACATACAGCTGGCCAATAGACTTATGAAAAAATGCTCGAAAACACTAATCATCAGGGAAATCCAAATCCAAATCACAGTGAGATATCAAACTTCACACCTTTCAGAATATCTATAAATAATAAATAAAATATAAATGTTATTGAGGATGTAGAGAAAAGTGAACCCTTGTGCACTCTTGGTGGGATTGTAATTTGGTATAGGCACTATGGAAAACAATGTGCAGTTTACTAAAAAAGTTACAAATGGAGCTACCATATAACCCAGAAAATTACACTTCTAGGTCTTTATCTGAAGAAACACAAAACACTAATTTTAAAAAATTCAGGGTGGGGCCAAAGTAGGTTGACAGTTGTGAGTACATGAAGCACAGAGTTTATTCTTGTATTATTATTTATTATTATATTAATATCCATGTGAACAACTATAAACCTACTTTGCTCCACCCTATATATGCATCCATATGTATATTGCAGCATTATTTACAATAGCTAAGATATGGCAGTCACCTAAGTGTCCATTGATAGACAAAGGGATAAAAAGAGGTAATACATGCATATATAGCCATAAGAAAGAATAAACTCTTATACTTTGTGACAAAATGGATGAGCCTAGAGGGTATTATGATAAGTGAAATAAGTCAAAGACAGAAATGACTTCATCCTCTGTGGAATCAAATAAATGAACAAGCAAACAAACAAAGAGAAACAAATAGATACAGAGAACAAATTGATTATCACCAGATGAGAGGTGGGTTGGGGGAATGGGTGAAAAGGCAGAAAGCGAATATTTATAAATTGCCAGTTATAAAAATAGTCACAGGAATGTCAAGTACAGCATAGGAAATATAGTCAAGAATATTATAATAACTATGTGCAAGATGAATACTAGACTTATTGGGATGGTCATTTCAAAAGGTATATAAATGTCTAATCACACCAGAAGCTACTATCATATTGTATTTCAACTGTAATTGGAAAATAAATTAATGTTTTAAAAATTAAAAAAAAAGAAATGGGAGCACCTTAAAGGCACGTTGCTAAGTAAAGAGGCCCCTCTGAAAAGACTTACGTTTTGATTCCAACTACATGACATTCTGAAAAATGTGAAAATATGCAGACAGTAGACAAAAGTGTTTGCCAGGGCTTCAGAGGGAGAAAGAGATGAATAGATGGGAATAAAGCATTTTTAAAATGGTAAAATAATTCTATATGATTGGTGGATATGCAACATTATGACCCACCTGACAAACTCACATATACTGGTGGTGGAAAAGTATGTTGGTAACCATTTCAGAAAAATATTTGCAACATAATAAAATAGCACATAACCTTGACCAGCAGTTCTATGCATAGGAATATTTCCTACCTATGTACTCATAGGTTTTGTCAAATGCACGTGTAAAATGTTCATGGAAGCATTATAATGTTACTTTTATCAGTCAAAGACAGTATAAGAAAAAAAGTGCACCAGTAAGATTTCTACTATTTAACAAGTAATTTTTACTAAAAAAATTATCTTTTATGCCATTTGTTGTCTCAGGCGTTGCTTATATTTGTCTCTAAATAAGCTATATTTATTTCTGCTTTGCACAGATCCTCTTACAAAGGCAAATTTTATCACGTGTTGGCTCCCACAAACCTATTCCTTCCTCACTGGCTGCCCCACTGCACTGATAACTCACATGGATTCCAACATGGACCCATATCCTAGAACACTTCCTCACTGTGTGAGTGACACATATACTGAGTCTCCTCAATATGAATATTGGGTTCGCAAGGGCAAGTATTAGGACTTCTTCATTTGCTTCTTCTCCCAGGAACTTAACACAAATCCAGGTACACGATAAAGAAGACTTGCTGATTAGAAATAATTTTTCCCAACCATAAGCTGGATCCTATAGTACACGTCCTCATTACATAATTATGTATTAAACCTGAGGAACAATGGTCAAAACAGCTTAACCCTTTCCTTGGGTCCTTGCTTTTTCTGGCATACTTGATACTGCCAGGACTCACACAGGTAGAAGGGAGGGTTGTACCTGAACTTGGTGCTGCCATCTGAAGGAGGAGCATGGGAACAAAGTATCTGGTGAGAGACGGTCCTGTAGTTTCCATTACACCTGTGATAACAAGTGAGGAGGGTTCAAAAACAGCGATAACAGGAGCAAGAATTTCCAGAAATCACATGTTTTTTATGCATTAATAAACTTTCAAGTAGTGTTGCCAGAAGATGTTGTAAGAGTGCTCTATGAGTTCCAGTTATTTGAATATCAAATAAAGTTATGGATATAAGAATGCCCAAACCTGTAGAGAATTTTTATGAGTTTATGAGCCAAACTAAGACATATGTCTGGGTCATATGCTCACATGCTCTGGAGAATAACAGTTTTGCAGCTTTTTTTTATGTATTTGGAATTAAGGAGGGGACATAAGGAAGATTACATGAAGGTGGGCAAAAGCAAGGCAGGGCTAACTAGATTATGGGCTCTCTTGATGTTTGCAGTTTATTTAAAAGGTGTGTTAACCTAAATGCACAGAAACAATGTACAGAGCTTCCTTAGGGAAAAGACAAACCTTGTACTAGAAAGTTATATGCCTGGGGCATGATGACCCACCAATACTTGCCTAATTAGGAATTTATGATCAGACACCTTGTGTGAGGATACTTTCAATAGAACCTCCCCTTTTTTGTCCACACAGTGAATAACTATCTGGTATACATATTTCCCACTCAATATTTGGAATCCTGCAATATTTATTTGCTAGATCTGGAAACTCCAAATCTTTTAAAAATTTTATTGATTTTTAGAGGGAGGTAGGAAGGAAGGAAGAGAGAGAAGAAACATAGATGGTGACTGGTTGCATGACTAGGTGCCTGGGGAATAACATGCATAAGAATAACATTTTCTTTACTCCTGAACAAAGCAGACTCCAGAAATCCAGCCAAACATTTGTTGTGACATGATACTGCAGAGTGAGTTTCAAATGACCCACAAAGAAACAATGAGAAAAGACTTTCCCTGTAGGGGACTGGAATCTCTGTTCGTATTATCTCACTGGTCCGTATATATATCTGTCAAGTCCCTTGAAATGTAGGGTCAGGTGGTCTCCCAGAAGGCACAAGGAAGAGGAAGGGATGGAAGAAGTGCTGACCATCTATGAACAGAGAACTCAATCCTAAATCTTACACTTACCGGAGATCCTGACGCAGCTCTCCATTGTCCCTGGAGAACGACAGTGCCAGAACCAGGCAGAGTACTTAACAAAGCTCCTTCTCATTGCTGCCCTCCACCTCTGGGCACCTGATGCTGCAGTGCTGTCCTTATGTTCCTTTCCGAGGGAAATTCCAGGGAGACTGGCTGTTCCAGTCTTTGGTAGGAGTCTTTGTTCAGCTTTAATGATTGCTGCTGGCATCGCTGTACCAACATCACAAGTACTAACAAGACTTGCCTCGCTATGAAAGGAAGCAACACCCAATCTGACTTTTGTATTCTATATAATTTGTGATGAGTAAAATGGGTGTGATCAAGAATTTAGTTTGAGCCCCAGATGGTTTAGCTCAGTGGATAGAGCGACGGCCTGAGAACTAAAAGGTCCCAGGTTCAATTCCGGTCAAGGGCACATGCCCGGGTTGTGGGCTCTATTCCCAGTGGGGGATTTGCAGGAGGCAGCTGATCCATGATTCTCTCTCATCATGGATGTTTCTATCTCTATCTCCCTCTTCCTTCCTCTCTGAAATCAACAAAAATATATTTTAAAAAAAGAATTTATTTTGAATGCTGTACTGTATGCAGAAAAGAAAGGAAAAGAACTATGGAGACACAAATGAAAGATAATAAATGCAGATCAGGCATTCAAGGAAGGTGATGATAACTAAGAACAGTCTTGACATAACATGAACAGTTAGCCATTTCAGAAGAGGAGCAGAAGAGGTTTTCTAGGCTGAGGGAGAGACAGCTTGCAAGGTATTTGAGAAAAAATGTTCAATTCAGAAAACTTCAAATAGTTTACTTTGCCTTCAATGGGAGATATGATCAGAGAATAATGTGAATGAGCTGTACAGAGAAACAAAGGTGAAATTGTGGTTTGAATGTTATGAAATATGTGTAATATATACTTTAAGTATATATATATGTATGTATATATATGTGTACATATATGTATATATATACACACACATATTCATTCCTAATTCTTTTTTTTAAAAAATATATTTTATTGGATTTTTTTACAGATTTTTTTACAGAGAGGAAGGGAGAGGACGGGAGAGGGATAGAGAGTTAGAAACATCGATGAGAGAGAAACATTGATCAGCTGCCTCCTGCACATCTCCCACTGGGGATGTGCCCGTAACCCAGGTACATGCCCTTGACCGGAATCGAACCCAGGACCCCTCAGTCCACAGGCTGACACTCTATCCACTGAGCCAAACTGGTTTCAGCTCTAATTCTTATATAATATACATATATGAGTACTGAAATATATAGCTACATATATAAGCATATACATATGTGTACATATATGTATATATTTATAAAGAATTATATCTTTTGGCATATATGCTTGCATAAATATAAGTATATGTCATATCTATATTTTATTCACATATATCCTAATGGTGTATATCCTATATAATAAAAGGCTAATATGCAAATTGACCAAACAGTGGAACGACTGGTGGCTATGATGCACACTGCAGTGGCCAACTGCCCTATCTGGCCCCTATCAGCCCCTCCCCCCAGCCGGTCTCACCCCCAAATGCCCCCACCCCCATCCCAGGCTCAGGTGTTGAATGTCTGCCTTCCCTGGCCACTTGGTCTTTGCAGGGCCGAAACCGCTCCAGCGGATGAGCTGCACCCACATCTACAGGACCCTGGACCAGATGGACTGCGAGATTAACCTGGCCAAGTTCACTCATGGCAAGTGTTCCACCCTCATCGTAACTGACTGGCGGCCCAGGACCTGGACATCCTGCTGCTGGGCAACATCATTAACTTCAGCTTCCCGGCCAAGGGCAAGCTCTTCCTGCACCATGTGGGTCATGTGGCCCAGGCTGGCTGAAGTGGCACAGTCTACTCCTTGGTGGCCCCAGATGAGTTCCCTTACCTGCTGGACCTGCACCTATTCCTGGGCCCTGCCCTCACCCTCGCCCACCTTCAGGAAGACCCCTCAGCTGCAGTCGTGTATGGCGTGCTGGGCCGGGTGCCACAGAGTGTGGTGAATGACAAGGACTGTGGCCTGCAGAACACCCTGGAGATATCACTGGAGCTGCGGGACCTGGGCTGTGTGGCCGACAATGCCCAGCAGCAGTATGTGCCCTTGTGGCCTGTGCCCTCGCCAGAGTCCATCAAGTGGGCCAAGGAGCTGGACCTCGTGAGGCTGGCCCTGCTTCCCTTCTTCAGCTCAAGTTTTGAGGATGAGGAGCTGCAGCGGCTGAGGCTGGTGGACAGCATCAAGCAGTACCGCTTGCAGGCAACCATCTTTAAGATCAACACCTCCAGCCGGGACCTGAGCAACCTGGTGATGTGGGCCAAATGGCAGGACTGCAAAGCCATCGCCAGCTTTCAGCAGGGCTTGCAGGAGGGTCTTGATGGCCCAGCCCCCAGCTGCCCAGCATGGCAGGCAGAGCAGCCTGGGAAAGAGGAAGAGGAGGAGGAGGTGGCGGGAGAGAGTGTGGATGACGTCTTCACAGAGGTCATGGGCCAGAAATGGCAGCAGCCAAGACCTGAGTGGGAAGCCAAGAGGCGGAAGGAGGAGGCCCAGCCACTGGACCAGGATTTCTATGTCCCCGATCAGCCGAAGGACTTCAACAGTGAACAGAGCCTGAGCTTTGGTGGGGACAGGGCACCTTTGAGCAGCAGGTGGCTAATGCTGCCCTGGACCTGATGCGGGATGAGGCCCAGAACCTGACCAGGGACCAGCAGCAGCTCAAGTAGGACCAGAAGAAGAAGCAGGTTGTGGGACAGTCAAGACAGGAGGACAAGAAGAAGATCAAGACAGAAAGTGGTCGCTACATCAGCAGCATCTACAAGCAGGACCTCTACCAGAAGTAGATGCAGAAACAGAAAATCGCCATATGCTCAACGCCTAAGCCCCAGCGGGCCACCAGCAGTCAGCCCTGCCTGTTGCACTGCTTTGGCCTGATCCAGTTGGGGCATGTGCAGAAGGCAACCAATTGATGTGTCTTTCTCACATCCATGTTTCTCTCTCTGTCTCTCACCTTCCCTTCTACTCTAAAAATCAATGAAAAATGTCCTCAGGTGAGGATTAACAACAACAAATATATATATACACACACACACATACATGCACACATATAAAAAAATACACAAATGTTGTGGAGACTAGGGGGCAGGGCCCCACAGGTGCACAAATTTTGTGCACCAGACCTCTAGTATGGACAATATACCAGGGCAGGTAAAATAGGTTTACAGTTGTGAGCACACAAAACAGAGCTTATTCTTGTATTATTAGTTACTAATTATTGTATTATTTATTTGTATCACAACCATAAACCTACTTTTGCCCACCCCTGTATATGTGTAAATGATGATATCCTATATAATAAAAGGGTAATATGCAAATTGACCCTAAAGGCAGAACAACTGGGAATGGTCGGTTGCTATGACGCACACTGACCACTAGGGGAGATGCTCAATGCAGGAGCTGCCACTTGGTTGTCAGTGCGCTCCTACAGGGGGAGTCGCTCATCCACAAGCTGGGCTGATGGCTGCGAGTGCAGTGGCAGTGGCAGGAGCCTCTCCCACTTCCTCAGTACCACTAAGGATGTCCAACTGCGACTTAGGCCCACTCCCCCAGGGAATGGGCCTAAGCTGACAGATGGACATCCGGAGGGGTCCCGGACTGCAAGAG